TGACCAATCGTCTCCAACCTCCAGACCAGCCCCCGATCAGCCCCAAAGCAACACCAGGCCAGCCACCACAAAGCAATCTAGGCAAGGATATTTCAGACATGTGGACTGGACTTTGCAGTTAATATTGAAATAAAGGGGCTCAAAAACATTCAATTTGAAGCCTTATGTTCTATTGTACATGGATATTCAAGGGTTTCTAAGAGTACTATACACCTACCTACGTAGTGCCTCAATGTCCTCAACCTAGTATAATATATTAGCAAATCACCAAATCAAGGAGATCACAAAGACATACCTCTTTGACAGCCTCCGGGGTTAAGACAATCGGATGCTCATCTCCGACACAAACACTGTCTTCGATACGAATGCCGATCCCGCGGAAGTGAGCGGGCCACCGCTCGTCGTCAGGAACATAAATACCCCTAGTATGAATTAGCTTGTCTCAGAATGTGGAGAACGAGATGCTAGGGGTACGAACGGCTCAATAGTTATACATTGACCTGCCTTAAGGTTGTAGCCTCTGGAGTATCCAGGGCAGTCGTGGACGTCCAGACCAACGTAGTGGCCCAGGTGATGGGGGAAAAGAGTATTCATCGCCTGGTCACTGTTAATAAATTGTCTCAGACAGAATAGGTCTGGATGCATACATTGCCAGAAAGATCAAAGCCAAGAGACTTGAGTTCGTCCTTCAATCCGTTCTCGGCGATGCCATGCAGTTTGTCCAGAGAGAGATTGGAGGTCTCGCGGCAGAGGGAGATACAGCTCCGGTGCACCTTGAGTACAGCATTGTACAGATCCCGCTGAGGGTCAGTGAACTTGCCGTTTACTGGCCATGTTCTGGTGATGTCGGAGATATAGCTTCCCCATTCCTATGATATTGTCAGAACCTGAGATGAAAGGGTATAGTTGTGTTGAATACTCACGCCACCACCGTCAACAAGAACCAAATCGCCATCCCTAACGTTGAACATAAGCACAGACTCGCATAGTGGAGCAAAGGAGCACAAACTTTAATACATCGTCATTTCGGGTGTAGTGAATAGCCAGAGCGTTCTACATTCATTCATGGTGAGTATTTAGCCTATCGAAAGCAAAGGGCTTACTTACCTGGCCACCCGCAACAACTGGAACAAAAGCGTTGCCCTCAGCCCCATTCACCTTGAACTGGTACTCCAAGAAGGAATGAAGATCCTTCTCTCGGTCAAACGTCTGGCGCATAGCCTCGGTGAAAGACCGTCCTGAAGCCTGCCCCAGGCGACGCATCTGTACAACCTCGCTCTCACTCTTGAAGGCTCTCATCTCATTGAGGATGGGCTTCAAGGGCTTAACCCGTCGATGGTCCACGATTTTCTTGAGCTTCTCAGACACGACTGTAGGTCCGTACAAGTACCGATTCAGACTTGATCGTGCATTGTCGAATGAGGGGATATCCGAGTAGACCTCTGTCGCTCCCTGGACGATACTTGGGAGGATGTCGCCAATCCGTTCGATATTTCCTGTCTGCTTCTGGTATCAGCCAGATGATCCATCCTATCCTCCGGTTGTTTTCCGCACCTCGTCCGCATTAAAGACGTCTACGGCTGCCTGAGTACCGGATCGTGCGCCGTCCCAGAGCTCGGCCCTTGGGTCTTTTTCCCGAACATATAGATGGAAGATATGGTTGTCGCCGGAGCCGTCGTTACCGATGATTGCCAAAGCATTGGGTTCGTTGAACCCTGTGTTGCATAAACGTTTAGCTTGTCGTCCCACGTCACACAACCACACGGGGCGAACCTACCCGTCAGGTAAAAGAAGTTTGAATCCTGGCGGTATTCAGTAAAGATGCCCTGGGCACGGTATTTGACCTCCGAAGCAGCTAGCACCGCAATTGCTCCTTTCGGTAGTTTGTTGGCAAGCCGCGATCGACGTTGCGCATATTCGAGGGCGGTGATTCCAGGAGTAACTAGGTAAAATACATTTAGCTAGGATCAATTAAGGTTATTTCGCATCCAAAGACATACGTTCGCCGGGGCTAAGCAGGTGGGGATGCGTCTCATGCAACGGTTGCCCGAATTTGAGGTCCGCGGCGGGGAGATAAGTAGCGTAGGACCGAGGGACGTTGTATCGAGGCAGTTGACGCAATGATTGACTCAGAACCACTGAAGGGCGTACTGGGCGCAAACGGACAGCGCATCGAATAAGAGACCTGCACGCCATGCTGGTGGTGAGTGATAAGAGGCAGAAGTTGTTATCGCCAAGTTTATCGCTGGTCGGCGGTGTGGGCCAATCACCTCGGGTGCGTATGGCATCTTCGTCCTCTTACGCCTCTTACTACCAATTGTCTGACTGATTTGCTATCTGTGCGCAGTCTCAAGACTGTAACATTTGTGGAAAGTCTTGCGCGGATGGACCTACTATAACGGGCTGAAATACCATACTGTTGACCGGATCATTTAGGTTATCTTGATTCGGTCTATCTACTTAAACGTTTATTTCGTCTCGCTTTCTCTCTGCTTATTCTCAGTTACAGTCCACTTTTAAGCTACACACAAAATGGGACGAACATTGACCTACCCGAAGGGCGTGTCCAACACCGCCAACAGATATAAACATCGAGGTATGCAGAGCTATAAAAAGTATACACCATAGACAAGTATTAACGATTTTTTTCCAGCGACATACGACCTGGGTCCAATTCATAGAATCATCAACGATGCCCAAGTCGTCCATGTATCATTCAACCCGGGCCCGGATGACCCTTTCCCGGCCATCATCCCAATGATCGGGCAAATGGGCTCATTCGAGTATCCCTCCGCTAGCATCGACGAGCCCCTCGAATGCTATCTCCACGGATATGTCAGCTCGCGCATCATGAACCTTGCACGCAACAGCGAAGGCCAGGGCCTGCCCATTTGCGTGGCGACCAGCAAAGTAGACGGGTTGATTCTGTCACTTACGCCCAACTCTCACAGCTATAACTACCGTTCTGCTATCTTACACGGCTATGCCAGTCTTGTGACTGATGAAGAGGAAAAACTCTGGGCTATGAAGATGATTACGAACTCGGTTCTCGAGGATCGGTGGGATCACTCGCGTGTGCCGCCGGACCGTGCTGAGATGTCGTCTACTGTCATTCTCAAGGTCAGGGTCGTAGATGGTAGCGGCAAGATTCGTGACGGCGGCGTGTCTGATGAGCGCAAGGATTACGATAATGATCAGGTTACTAGTAATGTCTGGACAGGTGTCGTTCCTGTGTGGGAGACGTTTGGTACTCCTGTTCCGAGTGGTGATGGCAAAGTTTCCGACGTGCCGGAGTATATTACTTCCTATATTGCCAATAAGAATGCCCAAAATCGGGCGTTGGCGGAGGGTGCAGTGAAGGTTGTTCTGCCAGCTGAGGAGCAGCACTGAATGCTTAGGTGGTAGGATTGGGCTGTTTGGATTACTACAGGGGCTTATATTCAATGATACATCCTATTCGTCTTAACAGTGGTTATTACACAGTATTAGTCTATTTGTAGTGGGCCCTATCAAAAGGGAACACTTGGTTCTCGGTGTCTCGAACGCGGTTGATTGACTATCTGCTCGAGCCTCAGTACAGGAATGCCCCGTCACCTCCGTAATGCACACGCCCTCTAGCACTTTTTCGGTAAAGAGTTCTTATTTTCTATCACGCGGGAACCAGACGTCGACATGGTCCTCCAATATACAATGCCAAGAACAATCCCGTCTGGCCCATTTCTCTTCACCTTGAGCAAAGGCGATTCAGAACTTTAGTGACCATGGTCCAGGATCTGGCCAAAGTGTGTTGCCAACTCATTCATGTCCCAGATATCCGAGAGGAATCGTCCCTTCAGAACCTCCTTTGAGGCATGTTGAGCGTCGTTACATGAGTCCTTTGCCTTTTGGATCAGGGCAAATAGTTCCAAAGTTTGCGTTGGTAGCTACGTAATGAAGAGCAACATGGTAAATATGAGCATCGCCAGCGGCGTTCTCACAAGATATTATATACTGCCATTTGCCAGCCAGGGATGATAACGAACAATATCAAAGGCAAAAGCCACGTTCCTTACAACAGCTAATGGACGGTGGGACCCCTGAAGGGAGAAAGGGAGCAAGATGGATGATGATTTTCGATGGAGGAGCAGCAGACTAAATAGTCCTACGGAATAGGGCAAGCATAAAACTAATCCCGGGGACAGTCATGCCGTGTCAACAGAGAGGTTCTAAAAGTGTAACAGTGTTTTACTACGATATCTAGGAGATATCACGTCTACCAGCTATACCCTAAGTGGCCAGCATCGCGATATATAAGGGAAGAGGGGTATTGTTGGTCAACGGACAGTACAGAGTACAGGATGGATTGGTTGGCTATGTGCTAATAGAGCACACCTGGACACACTTCTGGCACGTTGCCTATGGTTCGTAGCATCGTAGACACATTTTGATCGGTTACCCTAAGGTAGCAAGGACTCCACCTTGATATAGGAGATCATGTTCCCGATCTGCCACCAGCTGGCAATTGAACAAGCTACAAGTACTTACGAAGATTGACAAACATATCTTTCTAAGCTCCGATGAACGTATTCCGGAACAGAGTAGAAAGGACACAGTAGAAAGGACAACGAATAATGTAAAAGAACAGTGAGTGATCAGCGATTGTTCCATGGTTCCCACGTTCGGGCTGCAAGTTGCTGACTCATCTAGGCATCATCTCATCGCCCTGCCCACTTCCGCTCTTCTCTCTCTTTGTTCTACTTCTACAAGCCATTTCAAGCTTTCTTCAGCAGTCGCCCTTCATATTACTTCAATTTTACTTCCCCAACCGCACCAGAACCGTCCTATCCTCCGACGCGCCTTCTATCACCTGCCCCGCCAATTACTTCCCCGCTCCGATTGCGGGAATATCTCCTTGGTGAAGAGGAGGCCCTGAAACACCTCCGGCTGTCAAAAAGCGGTACAAGGTTGATTATCGATATCATACACGCATACTTTAGCTGGTTTCTCGCTACACCGCCAACATGAGTAGCCCTAAGCGCAGAATCGAGACTGATGTAAGTCACGTCGCAGCGACTCCGATAAGCTATCACGGTCCCCAACAATGCTAATTATGGCTTTTCGTTCTTCTTTAGGTCATGAAGTATATCCTCTTAGTCTGAGAACCTCGTCTTTCTTTTGATCGCTAACCTTTGGCTAGGATGTATGCTCGAGAACCCCCTTCCCCATTCCAGTCTGGCCTCCGCTTTTTGCAACTCCTCAATCTACTCCAACAGACAAATTTATGTGGTTGGAATATACCCTGACATGATATCTAGGCTCATGAGTGACTATGAAGTGACACTGGTCAACGATAATAGTAAGTCTACACCGCTTGCCAGGATATACCTCAATCCACTGACTTTGGGACATAGTGTATGTATCTACTACACCCTGCACCAATATGTTCGGACCTTCGAGATACCAATCTTAATGAATAGGCAAGAATTCTACGTCCGTTTCAAGGGGCCCGAAGAGAGTATGTTTTGCCGTACCGAACCAGCCTTACATCACGCTAACTATCCCAGCACCATTTACCGGAGGTCACTGGAAGATCCACGTCGAGCTGCCCGATCAGTACCCCTACAAGAGTCCCAGTATCGGATTCGTCAACCGAATCTTCCACCCGAACATCGATGAGCTGTGAGTCAGGGCTATTTAGATTGCACTGGTGACTCAGAAGCTAAGATGTTCTTTACGAAACAGGTCAGGATCGGTCTGCCTCGATGTTATCAATCAGACATGGTCGCCGATGTACGACATGCTCAACATTTTCGAAGTTTTCCTCCCTCAGCTTCTCCGCTACCCCAACCCATCGGACCCGCTCAACGGCGAGGCCGCGGCACTCATGATGCGGGAGCCCAAGGCGTACGAGGCAAAAGTAAAGGGTATGTCTTCATGAAAGAATCCATCTTGCCCTTCTTTTTAGTGCTAATCTTCCACAGAATACGTTGCCAAGTACGCCAGCAAGGAAGCCGTGGATGAGGCAGGCGAGGACACCGAATCCGAAGATGAGCTGAGTTCAGCCGGCAGCTATGAGTCCGGCGGTGAAGAGCCAGCTGGTACGATGGATGATGTCTAATCAAAGGGCGCCAAATCTGAGCTTGGGCCAGTATGAACATATTGCATCGCCCATCTCACTTCTATACCTCCATTCCTCTCTGGAACCGGATCAGCGGGCGTTTCTTTCATGGAGTTTAGTGTTCATTTTCAATGTCTTTTGTCTTTTCTCCCTTTTCGTCTATCCTTATTCATTTCGATGTACTTGAGCATTTGCGATGGTTGTGGTTGGAGTCATGGTTGAGTAATGCTCACGCGCAATTCCTCGTGGGTATAGGGAGTGTGGATCTTTTAATTGTTCTTCATGACATCTTGTCATCTCCAATCAGTAGCGTGAAACTGAATTTACAGGGAACTCTCCTCTTTACTATGAAATGGTTTGCCACTTGATTCGTCCCGTATCTGGAATAAAGGTGTTAGCATAGGACGAAATGTAGAAAATAACCCGCGAAGGTACTTCAAATTGTGTTCTATACTATGGAAAGATAAGCAGAAAATCACACTGGATATGAACTATACAAACAAACAGAGCATATCCGACAAGATGATATGACGACAAACCTAAAGATGAAAATCACAAAAATGTCTGCAAACACGCCAACAGGAAGAAAGAAGAGAAACCACGAAGATCTGACAAAGGAGATAGTCTGCGCCACTGGGTATTAACAGACTAGAGAAAGGAGGGAACAAGGAAAAAATGGCTATGTATGTGCGAAAACAGTCGACCTGCGATCCATGCAAAGAACAAAAACCCCCCCAAAAAAGTGCAAAAAAGTATAGAGAGAAAAATGGGTCTTCCGGTACCCTTAATCGTATGACATCGACCACACAGCCTGTTATTTATCGTGTCCGTCGTCATCGTCAATATGCAGCGATGGCTGAGCCACCTAGTTGACGTTCAAGACCCCAAAGACATCGTGCTTGACCTTGATATCCGTCTTCATGTCGGGACGAGACCGCTTCTTGTTTGGGTTGATGACAACTTCACCCCAGTGTTTGGGGACGTTGCCATCAGCGCCGGAGGAAGGACGGCTTGATGGTGAAGCCCGAGTTGCAGAGGCGGGGGTTGTTGGTTCGCCTTTTTGCGACTGAGCGGGAGATGCAGAGATGGGAGTGTGGAGAGTTGCTTGAGGTTGGAGATGTGGTTGTGGTTGGAGGGACCAGATATCAATTACCGAGCTGAGGGGAGGTTAGCAGAAGCCAGGACCGGTAAATTTGTGTTTCCAGAAATAGAAAAAACAAACGCAAGTGTATACTCACTCCGAAGTTCGTTGGCAAATAGATTCCAATGCCTCCCTCTCACGCCTCACGTATTCCGGATCCGGTTGGCTAGCCTGCTGCGCATGGTTGAGCGCTCCGTAGCCATACCCAGCCTGATAAGGGTCATCATCGAGTAGACGAGATGACTCGGGCTTGGAGAAAGAAATGTTAGAAAAGAAGTCTTTTCGACAGGCATCCCATGTATCGCGCATGATGCCGAGGTAATGCGCGCTGAACATGGTGATAGATGGCGGAATCGAGACTCACCTCAGGAGACTCATGGCGATTCCCGCCAAGGCAGGAGGAACAGATACCCATTTAAAGGGATCGGAATCAGAGTCGGGGATCTTGCGGGCTGTCGGATTGCACGATGCGAAGGGTACGAGGCATTAATCGTCCCAATGATCGCGAGGGAGGTGGGACTTGTGTTGGCTTGGCAGCTGGAACAGAGTGAGGGATTATCGAACTAAGGAGTGTGTGAGTATGCAAACGAAAGCGTAAATGAAGCAAATGGAGAGTCAGGCAGAGAATGATCGGGTGAAGTCTGAAGTCAGGCTGGGGTCCGTGCCATGTCGTCGATAAGGCCGTGGCCGCAGAAAGGCGGAGTCGGTGGAAACATTCCGTTTTTCCTTTCGCAACTTCTTTATACCACCACCCACAATGTTTGATCTACCAAATGCTAAGCGGTATGCATTGGAATATCGCTTTCTAAGCTCTCGTGGACCTAGTGGCTAATTTGGTACAGCATCCGGCGCGATGACATCCACTCTCCAGTGTCATCCCGCTCACCATCACCCGCACCAGATGACGCTGAAGCACAAGACGCACGAGCCCGTTTAGGGAAACTACTCAATCTCGATGGATTGATTGCCATGCAAGATACAGCTGTACAAGACAATGACCCCCCACAGCCAGAAGATGACGATGAGGAGCAAGAATTCGAATTCCGGCTGTTCAGTGCCCCTGCCAAATCGACAGAAAATGCGACCAAAGGGTCTGAAAAAGATGTAGAGGCCAACTCAACAGGAAAATCCCAGAAGAAATCCACCGGAACCGATACACAGCCTTCCACGGTCACACAGAAGTTGCGCATCCGATTGCGGTCGCCCTCACCGGGAGCTGGTGGTTCCGAGGGACGATTCGTGAAGGCTTCGCGGGGATGGGACTATTACTTCTCTACGCCTTCGCTGTTGGGAACACGCAATTCAGATGTTTCATCGGAAGATGAGGACAGTATTGCAGAGAAGAAGCAACAATATCAGGATATGGCCGTCACCGGAGAGCACATGCTGACATGGGCTCAGTCACAAGCCTGGGTAAGTCCATTTCGTCCCATGATGGACCTCACATACACCTCTCATATTTCTGGTCTTGTGATTTTGTTGTCGCTGACCCGGAGTATAGCCCGGCTGCCATCTGCCCTGGCGAGTGATCCATCTAAAACGCCATCAGACGAAACTTCCACGGCCAGCTGGTAGCGCCCCTGTGTATGTGGTAGAAGGCGCCCCCGTCTCGAAAAGCCCACTCACCCGCAAGAAGCCCGGCAAGAAGCGCCGAGTCCAGTTGCGCAAGCGCGTTATTGCTGCACAGGCTGCTAAAGAGACGGAGGCCGAGAAGCGGAATCGCAAGAACCATGCGAGGAAGCTCAAGCGCAGACAGAAGGCAAGGGAGCAGAAAGCCGCGGCAGCGGGTGTCGCTGTTGCGGACGCTGGTGCTGAAGATGTCTCCATGGCCGATGGAGATGAGGGTGCGTCCTCGGGTGGAGAGAATTGAGATTGTTAAGCGTTAGTATAGATTCTCAATATGATACCCTCGAGAAAGTCTTCTCTTCATACACATCGTGCCAACAATACTAGCACAGCACATTAGATCGAGTCACTACGGTGCTACTGCTACGCAAGCTTGCACAACGAAAGTGACTATCAGACTTTTGGATCATACGGGCGGCACGCCGACCCCAGGAACAAACGCCAAATACGTACATGATTGTCATGAAGCACGCCGGCCCCGCCACATTCGTGAGTGCACAGGCTCCCCAGATCTTCTTGGTATGCGCCAGCGCCCACAGGCGTTTCTCTCGCTGCTCTAAATCTAGCGGGAGCGTCCCGGGAGGGTGATGCTGTCGCAACTCACAAGTTAGCTGTGAATCAAGATTATTACATGCGGAACTGTTGTAACAATTGGTCACTTACAATATCCAAGCCGGGTCCCAACCCGGCCGAACAGTGCCCGCGGCGCCGCAATGGGGACTGGACGGGACATGACTAACCCCCATAGAAGACGTCTCGGCGGCGCGCGGCGGCGGACGCGACGGAAAGAAGGCCTTCAGGCCGTCTTTGAGGGCCGCTGGCCGAACTTAGTTTCATGTCCTGGTCGTATAGGACTGGAGGTATATATATGAGAGACTTACTGAAGCTAGGCGTTTTGATTGGAAAGGGTCAGGAAAGAGGGCTGGGGAAATCGGAATGCTTTGTATTCCGAACGTGGAGTGGCTTAGGGAAGAGAAAGAGAGACTGCGCGATCGAGGGCTGCAAAAGTCGATTGAGCTGGTGCACTGGCACGTGTTTCCTCGTCGAGACTGTACAGGCTTCTCTGGCTACTTCTAGGCAAAGTCACTACTCCTGCCCTAGATAACATTTTGATATTGCGGAATGGGCCATCTTCAATCGGCTAGACTCGCCCCACTGATACCCGCATTGCTAAATCTTATTCTGGGCAGCCGGCGCTAAGCTCTTTTAGGGGCCGATACCTTATCCAAGAAATCACTGATATTTTATTTTGAACTATCTTCATATATAGCCTAATGTATAGTAAAATAATCGATAGAGAAGTTCAAGCCTTAGTTTTAACCCTTTTAGGTTGGGTATCGAGGACAAGCTGATAGTGTACACTTCGTATATTTTTGAGGGTCCAAATCATTAAGGGCCTAGTCAAAGTCAAGAGACAACTAAGCGGTGGGAGATAGCGGATGTAGTACCAAGCTTAGCGTATTCCTCTTCTCCGTTACGCTAAAATATCCTCTACGCCTCCCTAGCCCAACAGCTGATTCTATGCCCTAAGCTATATTTTCTAAGTATCGAGGAATGTTTCCGTTACACTTATTACATTGTCCAATCAGTGCCTAATCCTTACTGAGAAAAAGTAATATAATAGACTTTATAGCCAGATCTGGACATAGCTAGTGCGTAGGAAAGGTGTAAAAGATAACACCGAGTCCAAATATTTGTAGATAGGGTTCATAACTTTATGACCAGACGCTAGGACAAATTCCCACAAGGGCAATGTAATAATGATTAGACTAGGGCAGGCTAATTAAAGGGAGATGCTAGAGATTTACGTGTGCTTGGTTCACGGATAAGCCGACGGTATTCACAACCACGAGAGACAAAGGCTAAAAGGTGGGAGCATGACCTTATCAAAAACTACAAAAGTGCTGGCGTAGAAGTAATCTGCCTAGTGTCAGCCAATTGTTTGCTCACAGGAGATAGATGAAGTACTCATAAGAAACAGTATGTCGCAACATTGAATTATATTTTATAAACTAATCATTAGAATGCAATAGCTATGATCTTTAGATAATTGAGATGGCTAAAAAGCAAAAAGGAAAACAAAAGGGAAAGTAATGCAAGTAAAAGGAAAATTGAAGGTCGTTAGGATTGTAAGTGGTGTTCGTGATATAACTAAAAGAAAGGAAGGATTGTCGGCGCCGTAGAATACGCTAAACACCACGGTGTTAGAAACCTGCCGGCTTGCTTTGGAACTTCGAAATGGTTAAACATACCGAGAATAAAAAGTAATAATGAAATCGCAACTTTGAAGTTTTGGGCCGCGATGATCAAGAGAAGGATACCACAGAGAGACCATGCGGAATATCCTCCAATGCGGAGACCTGGGCCACTTTTATATTTGATAGCTGCGTCGTCAATGATGCTTTGCAAATTGGCAGCTGCGATGTTGGCTTTGTTCAACAGAGCCTGCGATACTTGCGCGTGGAATTGGATTGCCTCCTGAGTGCGGGAATGTGCAGCAAGCGCTTCTGTTTGCTGTTCTTGGGCTCTTTGTAATTCGCTCGCTTTTGATTCGGACTGATGCATGGATGTGTCCATATTGTGGAGTCGCTTCAGAAATCAGCAGGTAATCGTGAACATGCAAGAGGGGTTCGCACCTCGGTCATTCGCGTCTCTTGCTCGAGAATCATGTTCATTCGGCTCGTCAACCACTCCTAGAGTGGCGATAAGCGTCAGCAATCTTTCTTCAAAGAGGATCTGCATAACCATACCATGGCAGCGTCAAACTTTTGCATTCCTCTGTATACCCTCACCATGTCGGAGTCTAGAAGCGACTCGAGTGATAGGTGTAAAGAGGCCGCAAGATCGCCATGAGCAACGGCGTTGCTCTCCTGTACCAGTGTTGCCTCTTGGCTTCTAGCAAGAGCATCCTGGTGCACAGTCTGTAGGGCCTGCTGAAGGGCGCCTACCTGGCTTGAAACATTGTGAATATCCTATTCCACGGTCAGAATCACTTTAATAAACAGTCATTTTTGAGACTGACGTTTTCAAGAACTTCAGTTCCTGTCCGTAAGTTGAACAAAGCCGAGGATATACTGTTTTGGAGGCATCCAATCCCTAACTCGATTTCTCGAAGAAAGTTGCCGACAGTTCGTTGAAATAGCGAGTCTGTCTGTTCCATGTCCATCACAATCTTCTCCTGTAGAACCTGAACAGCTTGCATAAATAATTGTTGCTGTTCAGACTGTGCCACTGCATCTCGCAAAGCGTCGCGAATGCCATTGTTGAGTTTCAGACTGCTTTTGGCAATGGATCGATGAAGGTCGAGCAGCTCCTCCTTCTCTGTCTCGATCCGCGAGGCTTGGCAAATGACCAGGGCATTCTGTCGGCTGTTGCTGTATGACGTCCACCATTGAGGGCGCGACTCAAGCGCTCGGAGGCATTCTTCTAGGACCTCCCGTGGCATCTTATCTGAAGCATTGTCTGAGGATTTGTGGCGAGACACAAATCCGAAACGACCCTTCTGAGGAGGGGGTGACACCGTCACTGGAAGGCATGACGGGGGTATCGCGGCACCGGCACCCTCAATCTCGCATATTGCCAGTCGTGCTGCGTAGACAGACCGCACAAGATCCATGGTCTCAGGACTTTCTGTATGCGTGCCATCTTTGCCGCCGCTGAATGCCTGGCATGACACTACCAGCCTCGTCGCTGCGACTCGGTTGCACGAGGGTGATGAGTTGAGCGAGTCAAGAAGTTGGATTGCTTCTTTGAAGATCGTATCTTGGTTTTGTGCTCGAGAGTCTAGGGAAGAGATCGCGTCGATTTCTGGTTGCTTCGGTGTAAGGATTGGAAGATCACCTTCACTGGTGAGCAGCCGGACATGGGGTATCTGACTCTGCGACTCACCTTTTTGAGATGGCCTCACATCACTGGAGCCAGCGAGTGGCAGGATGATATAGAAAAGAAGCTGCGAAATCACGGCTGCCTTCATCTTGGGCATGTGCTGTGGAGGATTGGTCGTGGATGTAAATTGCAGGCAGACCCTACCAGGTCTTCAATCTCTGGCTTGTAGTTGGACTGTATAGAATGACCACCTGGGAGCGATGCGAATGGAGAAGAGCGGAAGCAGATTGTCAGAAGGAAAGAAACAAGCTCACTTCGAAAGTGACTATTGATATCCAGATTGTTTGAAGTCGGCTATGTCTGCTCATCTTTTGTTTTAAAAGTCCCTCAGTTATCTCAATTGATTCTTCATGTCGATTTTCCAATGTTGTGTCTTTTAATAGAATTGTTGCTATACTACGCCTCTTCGGTGACCAAGAAGTGAGAGCTACATCACATACAGGCATTTTCGTGAAATTACCATAAAGCCTTGTCAGATCAATATATTCTACATGATACAAACAACAATTTGACGATATTCAAAGATCAATTGCATAAAATTCTCAGACCAGACACAATATAGATGGTCACGTGTGCGCTAACCCTCATCGGGCAAAAGCCATCCGCAACAAAATCGAGAAAGTCCGCAACGCAGCACAGCACCCGAACACAACGCGCAACCATGTCAGCCTCTATACCCCAGCGCTGTGCCCGGCAGCTACTCCGGGAAGCCTCCCAGCGCAGCTCATTACCCATCTTCCTTGCCCCCGCATTCTCCCCCCGAGCCTTCTCGACCACGTCCCCGGCGCAGTCCCGAGTCGGAGGTGCCGCGATTTCCATTCCCCCAGAGGTGTCATTCAAGCTCGTCGACCTTCCCAAATCTCTGGTGCGGACACGCGGAAAGGATATTCCCAAGTATGCAGCTGAGATTAAGGGTCCCAGGGGTATGTATCGGTCCTGCATGAAAAGTCACCGAGTGGATACTGATTGTTCTGATTTGCAGGCGAGATGTCCCTGAGCATTCCCTCATTCCTTACTGTTACTCCTGATGAGGCTGGCCAGAAGGCTACCTTGTCTGTCTTGGATGCAGAGGTCCCTCATCAGCGTGCTATGTGGGGTATGTGTTGTTCTTTTCATCTCCCGATTCTCCGGTCCGCGCAGCAAGTCTAACGCTTTGGCTTATCTCAGGAACCACCCGCGCACTCCTCCAGAACCACATTCTCGGCGTCTCCGAAGGCCACGTCTGTGTATTGAGTATGGTTGGTGTTGGTTACAGGGCCACCATCGAAGAGACGGCCACGACGGCTGAGGCCACCTTCCCCGGTCAGAAGTTCGTTTCCCTGAAGGTCGGATTCTCTCACCCAATTGAGCTCCCTATTCCCAAGGGAATCGAAGCAAGCACACCGCAGCCGACCCGTATCCTGCTTGAGGGTGTCGACAAACGGGTTGTGACCCAGTTCGCGGCTGAGATCCGGGATTGGAGACGCCCCGAGCCTTACAAGGGCAAGGGTATCTTCGTCAACGGCGAGACTATCAAGCTCAAGGCCAAGAAGATCAAATAGTCTGGGAGCGCTTTCTACTTTATACTACGCGGGACGTGTTGTCTTGGTTCCGTGTTCTGTACTCTTATCGTCAATATGTACTTTTTATTTCTCACAGTGATGGTATCACAAATCTACTTAAGATGCAGCTAGCGTGATTGCTCCCCAGGAGCCCAATTGCCGTGAATAGACGACAAATTATACATCAAAAACTCAATTACAGCTTCAGAACTACCTTGACAGCGTCAATGACCTGGTCCTGGAAAGCCTTGGGGGCAGCAACGACACCCTTGTTGGCAGCCAAGGTCCGGCCCTTGCTGAAGTCCAAACGGTTGCCGTAGATGTCAGTCACTTGACCGCCAGCCTCGCGCACAATCAGGTCACCAGCGGCGTGATCCCAGATCTTTTCCTGGTAGTCCTTCTTGACGGGGAGGCGCAGGTAGATGTCACCAGCAGCACGCGCAATGGAGCAGTACTTGGCCTGCGAGTCCAGTCGCACGCTAGGGGCGGTAATGCCGAGACGCTCAGCGACGGCGGCGTTGTCGCCCTGGGCGGAGTGCGCAGCCTCAACACCCTCACAGAAAACGGCATCCGAGATCTTGGCAACGGGGCGCATGGAGATAGGCTTGCTAGCAGCAAGAGCACCGCTGGCCAGAGGGCGGCTGGTGGCACCCTCACCCTGGATGGCGGAGAAGAGCACACCATTGCCGGCAGTCTCGGACTGCTGGGCGCCGGTGCTGGCGTCAATGGTGGCAGCGTCATCGATGGGGAGGTTAGGGGTACCGATGGCACCGACCTTGACGTCGCCGTCGACCATCAGGCCGAGGCAGACGGCGTACTGACCGCCACGGAGGAAGCCCTTGGTGCCGTCGATGGGGTCGAGGGCCCAGATGCGGCCCTTGGGACCACCGGCGCTGTTGCCGTTGTCAATTATGTCCAGCATGCTCTGCTCACTGGCAAGGGGGCCACCGAGCAGGTTGTCGCTTTCCGCATCGTCTAGCTTGATGTCCTTGACAAGGCGCCAGATCTCAGCGCTGAGGTCCTTGTCCTCACGGAGGGAGCTGGCCTCCTCCTCGGCAACGATCTCGTCATTGGGGAAGTTCTTGCGGATGGCCGAGATAATCAGGGCCTGGGCGCCGAAGTCGCCAATGGTAACGGGGGACTTGTCGTCCTTGGAGACGGTACCCTTAGCCTTCTCAAAGAAGACCTTCTGGGTCAGAAGGCATGCCCGCTGGACGGCAAGTTCGGCGATGTAGCGTTCTTGTTGGTAGGACATGATTGTGTGGTTGGAAGAGAGGTGGGGGAGAAGGAGGGAGAGACGAGAGCGGGTGAGAGCCACACTGAGGGCCAGGACGAGGGTGGAGCAGACCACCAAGCGGGACAGGACGCGTAACAAATAAGAACGGGGGGATGGATCCCTTGCAATTGAATGCTTCATGAACAGAAGATCAACTGATAGGCGACGTAGCTCGAAATTGAGCACTCTCCAAGTCTTCAGGGAACTACGTCGTTTCTCCAGTCTGTTCCCTCAGGCATCCGACCCCGCGCTAACCCCTTTGGGCCGGAGTAGTCACGAGGGGCCGATAAGGTCAAACTGTTTCGGCTTCCCTTCTTCGCTTGTAACAAGTCCAATTCGCAACTCCTATTGCTTCATATTGTCACTCTGCTGTTGAATCCCTTTTGTCTGGACTTGTCGGACGATCAACGGGCGCCAAGACCTCTCGCGACCTCCGACGTCACCGACGTTACCACGTGAAAGAATCACAAGCGCTGCGGATCTTTTGTGCTGGCTTTTGTGGCCCAATATTGTCTTGGACCTTTCTTTAATAGCTGTTTCACCTCCTGAATATCACCATCGATCTCTCGTTACCACCGCAATTCCACCGACCGCTTGTATAAACAGTGCCGTGCGGGGTCCCTTCTATATCGACATATCCACGCGGGGTGCTTGTGGTTGTGGGCTGATTTAATACCAGTGGAACTACCTGATTCTTCCCTGGTACATTGAAACACAACAATTTGTTTTCTGCATCGGACTCCTGTTCAGTCTTCCTCAGTCAATATGTTCCAGTCGTCTGTAAGTCGCTCCGCAACGACCCCAGAACCTCCCGGCAACGCTGACAGCTTGCGCACAGAAACCATACTCGGCAGTGACGGTACAAGTGGAGGTTCTTACGAGTGAACAATATGAGGTGGAAGACTCCAGTGGTATCGTCGACTTGGTGGAGGTAGTGCGCATTCAGGCCAGTGGTCCGACAGAAGCTAGCCGGGCCCTGCGCAAGAAACTGTAAGTGTAGACCTAACTCATGTGGTTTTTTTATTTTAATCTAACCAATGCAGAAAATACGGCAACCTCCATCGTCAACTGCGTGCACTTGTCATTCTCGATTTCTTGGTCCAAAATGCTGGAGACCGCTTCTTGCGCGAGTTTGCCGACGAGGCACTTCTCGAGCGTCTCCGAATCGCAGGTACCGACTCTGTATCTGATCCTCTTGTGAAACAAAAGTGCAAACAGATCTTTGGACAATGGGCGGTGACCTTTAAAGACACTCCTGGCATGGCCAAGGTCACGGCATTGTACAAACAACTCCCGAAGCGCAAGCAGCCTGCGAACCAGGCCAAAGCGAAGGTCTTACGGGAGGGTTCAAACTCGAATGAGCCTCCAATGGGTCATGTTGTCTCAGTGTCAGCTGGTACTGGTCCGTCTACAGTCTTGACCAGCCCGAAGCAGAAGGCCAAGGCCAAGAAGGACAAGAGAGATAAGAAGCTCTCAATCAGTATGGGCAGCAAAGGTTTCAACTTGGAGAAAGAACGTCCAGAAATCTTACAAACGCTTGCTGCTTCCTCCGTTGCGAGCACTGACCTCTTGAACGCACTCAAACTCGTCAACCGTGAGACGAACCGAGTAAGTGAAGATGCAGAATGTATTAACCGCTTCGATAAGTGCAAGTCGCTTCGCCATCAAATTCTCCGGTATATTCAGTATATCGAAAGCGAGGAGTTCCTGGGTGGTCTGATCCACGCGAATGAGGAGCTTGTGACAGCATTGATGGCCTTCGAGGTGCTCGATAAGAGTGTGGACTACGACAGTGACAGTGACGATGATATTCTCGAGGGCAATTGGAAAGAAAGACATGGACTTGGCCTCGATGAAGATGTGCACGGCGGTCTTGCCGGTCTTAATATCAATCCTCCTAAGCCTCCTCGGCCAGCTCGTCCAGAGGGTCTTCCTGTTGCGTCTTCATCGCAACACTCGCGCCAGATTTTTGAGAGTGAGAGCGAGTCAGAAGAGGAAGATGACGATGAAGACAACCCCTTTGGAGATCGGAACGCAATTAAGACGCCCGGTGTTGAGAAATCAGGCTACTCTTGGTACGTCATCTCCTCCCCCCACCCAAATATATATCTCTCAACTTACTAACAACTCCATAGGAAAGAGGTCTGACTCGGGTCTGTCGCAATCTATGAGCTTTTTCTATCTTTATTGTTGCAGTTTGCGCTTTGGTTTCTTTATTGATTGTCTAGTCCTGTACTTGATTGGTATACCCAAGGCAATTGGCTATCATTTTTCTGAGAGATGAATATCCTTTTTGGTTGTTGGTGTATTGGATTCCATTATTCTCACGTCTCAAGTCTTTTGGGCACTCATTGCATAGCTTTATGATACTATTATTCCCCATGCTCCCAAGTGAACCATAGATTATCTGACAAAAAGAAATAAAAATATATATCAGGCACCAACGAGTGACGACTGCAGGATACAGCCCCTGCATGGATGATATCACGTCACAGCCAGTTGAAAAATCTCCCGACACTGTAACGCGGCCGTTTGCTGCCTTGGATCCTTCGTCTCGGGTTCAGGCTCAGGAAGAGCATTCAAAGCACAAAGTCCGTTTCCTGCGCCAGGTTAAAGACCCATCTTGTTTTTCTTTGTTGGCTGGTTGGGAGTCCCTCGGGACACATATTGCCCAGCGGGTTCATTATCAAGGACAGCTTCTGCAGCTGGCGGATCGTGTTGGAGTTGATTGGATGTTTCATTTGGATGCCGACGTGAGTTTACTAACATTCCTTACCTGTTCTTTATTTGCTGGTGCACATAGGGCGGTTTACCCTCATTTCTTGTTCCTATATATTCAAAGGTGGTTAACTAATAACGCCAGCCCTCAACATTTGCAATCCAATCATTGCGATAGGCAGATATTTCATCGAAGTAAGCAAGAAAGATGAATTCAACACTGTCTTCAAGGCAATTATATCTCATCTGGCTACTACAGCTATAACACCATTCTCTTACTGTGGTGCATGGCGCATCGACAAAGAAAGCGAGTATGAGGAATATGTCTTCTTCAGTGGGTGGAAGGAGATTCAGAACCATGCTGATTTTGAGAGGTCAGAGGCATCAGAGGATATTGGGAAGGTTAATGAGTTGGTGAAAGGGGCGGAGGTTAAACACGTCCATGTTCAGAAGTGGAAGTAGATAAGATTTATTACATGTTCATTTTTATATAAGGTATCTTGGAATTATTTTGAGGGTATGCTTTTCGGTATCGGGGTACCATGGAGGATAAATTGCACCATTGCTTTCCGCCCATCCAGTTTGAGTGGTCCCTCAGTGTGCATTGCACCTAGGACATCTTTCCGGTAAATTTGCATACCGAGTGACTTCGCTCGTTTTTCTAGCTGATCCGGCACGTATGCCGGAATAACCTCATCTTTCTCTGCAGCAAGGAGAAATATCGGTGGAATTGAGCGGGGTGGTGGATTCATCGCGCCAGATACAAAGCTCTCGGAGCCAGCCAGACTATTACCACGGTCTCTCCACATGGCCATTTCGCTCATTTTCGCCATGATATCCCATGTATTCCAAGAAAAGGGCCACATATATCGATACGGAAGCCATTTCTGCGGATAAAGGGCAATCAACATATCCTTGATACTGGAGGTCGGTGCCTCCAAGATTAGCCGAGAAATGGGCGGCAGTGGCCGGCCACTGTTTGTCTCCGAAGATGATTTCAATCTGTCTTCATGACGCGGAAGATAGGTAGCTGTTGCTGTGCTAGCAACTGCTGCTCCTAAGCTGTGGCCCCATAGAACAAGTTCAAGATGGGTGTCTGGGGCCGCGTAGGTCTTTGAAACCCAGTCTAAGAATGCTTGGGCATCCATCTCGATGCCGGACTGTGTAGCGCGGCCAGAAGATGTCCAGTAACCCCGGTATGACAGCGCAACAATCGTAAACTCTGTGTCTCCAGAGTCTGATGTCGTTCCGTCTGTTGATTTAGAAGCTTCCGTAATCGAACGCAAGACCTGCGAAAGAAGTGGCAATCGCATAGGCGTTGAACCACCATTCCCTTGAAAATAACAGATAACAACAGATCTTTTCCGTTTCAATCCCACAGTCTCCTTGTTTTGAGAACTCGAAGTACAAATGCCAGGCGTAGATCCACGGTCCTTAAGGCTGGATGGAATGCGGCCCTCACAAACAGCCAATTTAGTCCCATCAAGACTGCGTATCTGCTTCTCTTCCCATTTTACAGGCCTGCACTCGACTTCGTAATCTGATATAACCTCAGAGCGCGTAAATGGTGGCAGCCAGGAGATGTAAAGAAGCTTGTTTTGCATGACGATGATCCAGAAACATTTCCAGGTCCAGAGGCCAAGGAGGAGTCCGATGAAGATGAGTGGTGGTACGAGAATGCTTGGGATGGCAGCTGTCGCTAGTCTGCGCACTTGAGTCTTCTCTGAGAGTGCATACTGGGCGATTTTGGGCCTCTTCCTTATGGTGGTATGGAATGGAATGTCGTGGGAAGAAACCCTTGGCTGCCGAGCGCGGGTATGTATTGTTCTTGCATTTGGACCGCGCAGTACGTGTCTTAGGGCGCACCTTCGTAGCATGAATTATGTTCCACCAAACTCGGTGGGGGGTACTTCGGTGACGTTTCGTTGTCCGCGGGTTAACGTTATGAGCCGGGGCGGACCTAACGCTTGAGTCAGCAATGCCTGGGCAACATCGACTAGGTCCTCAGGAGCCTATGACTTCGAGGTTGCCTTTCGTTTGGACTAGGGCCAGAACATTGGAATGACTATGCTATGGTCTATTAATAGTGTTGCCTGACAAGCTTTACTGTTACTATGTTACTAGTAGAATAACCTTAAAAAGCTCGAGTTCAACTTAAGTACACCCGAAAAAAAGTATGTCTATGTAGAGAGTCAAACATCCGAAACCCCAACGTACAAAGTAAATAACAAGTTTGTGAATATTCAAATGGGTATTATGGGTCGTCATCATCCGGAGTCGTGATATGCAAAATTCAAAACGCAACCGCAGAAACAGAACAGAGTAAAAAGCCAAGAGGCCAAATCAAACCCAAACCCCAATGCAATCAATGCAATGTCTCACAAAACTTTTGATCTCATCCATTCGCTCGTACCAACTCCAAGGTTGAGCCCATTCCGCTCCCACCAACGCCGGACTCGGCCCTCGGCACCAGATGTGGGATCTGCGTCTTCAAGCGCTTCTTCAATATCGCATGTTTTGAACTCAACGCGCATCCCGCAGGTCTTCCACCATTGCAGCACATGGTCGTGTCCATTCTTCGTGGGGCCGACCAAGACCTGATTATCGAAAATCATCTTGGGACCCTTGAGTTGGTACCAGAACTCGAGGACATGTACGTGGCCGTGGGTGCTTGAGATGCGAGCAACGTTCTCGGCGTGGCTGTATGGGATGCCCGATGCATCCCACCAAGCGAGTGATGCAGTGCGGCCCATCTGTGCTGCAAGAAGGACGGATTTGCCGGGTTTGAGGGGTACAGGGCTGTGTGCTGGGGCGTTTGCGGAAGCAGTCTTCCACCAATCAAGCACGTCGATTCGGCCTTCTGCACTTGCGGCTTCGAGGGCACGCTCGCTGTACCGCAGCGGAAGGCCGGAATGGAGCCACCAATCCAGAACATGGAGATATCCGGCTCGGGAGGCGCCATCCATGGCATCTGCCATGTACTCTTTGTTGGGCAGAGCGGGCGCATCACGCCACCAGGTGAGAACCTTTGGGTTGCCGTAAATCGCGGATGCACGGTATGGAATATTGGTGAGTCGAGAGGTCGTCCACAGGAGGTCCAAGTGGTTTTCAGTGAGATAAGAGAGGATATCGGTTCGGGAAAACTTGACTATTAGGTGGCATGCAAGGTCAGAAAGCGGCTTCCAGCGAGGAAGGGCGTCAATTCGCTTTTTAATTGCAGCGAAAGATCCTCGCAGGATGGTATATTCGAGTGAAGCTGGTGTGGACATTTTGAGCAAATGGCTCTGCCATTCTTTGGGGACAGGGAGATTCGAAGGAATGCCAACAGCTTTCGCTGTTTCCCAATCTCCTAGTTGATCTTCAAAAACGTTCAGCCATATCTCGAGAGGTAAAAAATGGGCGCTGCCTTCGGGTTTCGGGATGCTCCGCAGCGCAGATCCACTGCCACTCCCCGAGGCCAATGGTGAGTATATAGATGTCGATGCAGTTTTCGTAGCTGTGGCCGCGCCATTCAAACTAGCCCCAGTCAAAGTAGCATCCCACGAAGGAAGCTTTAATGTCGTTTCCAATGTTCCGTGCAACTCCTTTAGCCCGTCCCATGGAAGTATTGTCAATTCTTCAGGCCCATTTGACTTCCAGAGCACAGGCCTAACAATGCGGACCCAAGGCCAAAAACAGCTTATCTCGTCAAGTTGGCGAGAACTTAGCGGATGATCCCATTCCGACACAGTCATTCCTGGAATGAGTACGACTGGTTTCTTTGACACCCAACCACGAAGCAGCGCCAAGGTCAAAGTGTTTGTCAAACCAGCCAACATCGCACCAAGGGCTCCAGCATCGATGGGCGCAACCAACAGCATGTCCGCCCATTCACACAGCTCCGCAGTTTTTGCCTTCAGCCATTTCCTCGCCCCAGTCTTCTTGTCAAACGTTTGGCTATCAACCGTGTCCATATAGTGTGGAATTTTGTTCGTTCCAGTGAGCAGAGCCGAGGGTTCGTCCGTGATCAGGCGCAGCTCGATGTTTGGGTTGTGGATGAGGGATGGGAGCACCGTATCGGCGAAGGCGCTATCGGTGGATAAGAGAAGTCGTCGTCGCCGTGGATGTGAGGGTATGGCATCTTGAACTGCTTGGTCGCGGCACACTTGATGTCTCACTTTGTCTCCGATCACCGTTTCTTCACACTCGTCTTCCACCTCCATCTTCTTGGACCACGCTCCTTTGGCAGTGCTGCTTCCTCGATGAACAGGAGTGGATAACTCAGACCGAAAACCAACTGCCATGCCCGGGTTATATAATGACTCCAAGACTCGAAAAGAAGAGCGGGTAGTTGACTTTATCGGTGGGACTGTGTATCGTTGAGGATGTATGGGAAGGAAACGCTGAAGGACAAAGCCGTGTTCGAGTAACAGGGGGAAAGCAATTGACGTCCCGTGCCGTGCAGAAGATTTGAGTGCTTATCCAGCGCCGATGGGCTGACCGAGATTGAATCATGCAATCCTTAAGAAGGAGTCTGTGTTTGAGGTTCTGTCATGCGACCGTCGAGGTACAAGCGGTGAGGTTGTTGCGTTGTCCGACTTGGGCGTCGCCACGTCGTACACGTCTTCGCCACTGCAAGGAGTGGGCGCGCAGCAGCAGATACCGACTTCTTGTCAAAGTGGGTAGATACCGCCAATGATAGGATGTTCAAATATTAGTTCGAGGGTCTCTGCAGGTCTCTGCGGGCGGTTAGAGACGGACGTGCAGGAAGAGCTCGAATTGATTGGGCGTGATTCGTTCGGTCTTGGCGCCTGAGGCAGAAACTGCATCTCAGGCTTCCAAGTATGTGATCTATATATTGTTCGAGTCAACCACATTGTATTTCTCATCTCTCAATTTGGTATAGATGCCTTCGCTTGCAGCTTCTTTACTCTTATCTTTAATGCCCAAATCAACAATATCCACTTAGGATCGCGAATGAGGCTTTTTGGAAGTCTTCCTCATCCGCAATGAGAACATAGACCGCGTTCACGACCCTGTGCAGACTACTGGCGTGTTTCTTAACAATCACATCCCTGCTTGCTTTTTCTTTCTAATCAAACAGGAAATCCTGGTTAAGGCCAGAGGCATTCTTCTTCAACTCCTCTTGCGAAGCGACTGTACATTATCGGAAGATAAATATTGTTGCGAATTAATGGCATTAGATTTTTCAACACTCTCGGTAGAATCCATGGTTCATGTAGGAGGTGACTAGTTCGCGCTCATCTATGCGAATAAGGCGTCGGATTGTGGGGTGCCGATGGTGCGGTGATTGGAAATCCCCAGGGTGGCTCTCAGAGCTCAAGGTACAGGTAGACAGGTTCGAAAGATGGCATGGTAGTTATTCAATAAAGGCTCCAATATTGTAAGGCATTGCGGATTCTTTGTTGAGTCGGTAAGAGGGGTTTACTTAGTGAATAGGACCCCAAACGCCCTTATACAACGGCCGCACCCCGATCAGGATCACGAGGACAGCTTAAATTCGATATCTAGAGCATCGTACATAGGTTTGCAGCCCTTTGGAACCCGTTACAACCATTACAACATTTTGATATAATCATTTCCACGTACAATACTGTACTTTCTTGGAACCCCGGCAGCTATGATGTTTGACGCAGGACGCGGTTGTAGTCATGACGTTGATCAGCACGATCGTCCCCCGCAATTACATACCTATTCTATCCGCCGACTCTTTGTTTTGGGCAAAATAGACCAGCTTCACGGATAGCACCTATCCGTACCCAGGATGTACTACGTATGGTTCGTTCCAAGTGCACAAAAATAGAACGACTGTCGTTGGTTGGAATCTTCGTACCAGCCCATACATCATTGATTTCCGGTTTCTTTTGATGCGAACCAAGCTACGGTCTCTGAATGTGACATAAGAGAACTTTTGAACAGGATTGTGATATCTCTCAATAAAAAGTGGGTGTTTTATCTCAATCGTATATTGATTTATATTGGTACTGGTTTCATGTTACAGGAGGCCTAGGGGAGGTCTACTTAAACATTGCAGCTAACCTGACAAGCAATCTATTTAATTTCGTTCCCCTCGTCAGAGCTTGGATACTAACCCCTGTGGTCTTAGCCACGAGATCATTGAAATACATTTTCCAAGCTATTGGCCGGATTATAACAAGGTAAAGCTTAGACGTTTACAACTAGCTATTCTTGGGACTCAATACGTGAGCGTTCCATATATTTCATTGAAAACCTGATCATAAAAACAAAGAAACAATGGTTATTGGCCCATCTCCGCATTTAATGCAGGGTTCGGCCTGTCACAACCAATCCTGATAGATTATTCACTCAGGTGTACGAGCCGCGGTAGACAGCTTTTGCCACCCCAGCAGCTCTAGCAATTGCCTTTCATAGTATATGCTAGGCACGATGGAGAATAGTCTCGTTCTGTGGATGCAACAAAAATACGATCTTCAATGGGGAATGACGTCTACTATATTTCTTGTTTGCCTATTCGGCTAGTAATTTAGCGTAAATATCTTTGGAAAAAGCCAGGATCTCTAATGCCTCTCGGTTATAAATATTCTGGGTATTTCACAGAAAATAACTATATACAATCTTCTTAAGAGCTTTATCCTCTCGTTGACTATACAACATAATTTTCTAATATGAAGAACTTTTACACTCTCGCGGCTTTCGCCGCTGGTGCAAATGCCCTAGTTCCTCGTGGTGGTAGCTGCTGCTTCCATCTTGATGCTTCTGGCGGTATGACCGGCTCTGTCGGCCAACTGAGTGATGGCCAGAACCGTATCGGTGACAATAGCCTGTCTCCCGCACAGTTCTGTATCAGCTCCGATGGCTCTATCACCGATGGAAATGGCCGTGGTTGCATTCTGACCCGTAAGTGATGCATTATATCAATACTGAAAGTAAGCTAATGAATGCCATAGCCCCTACCACTCAATTCCAGTGTGATACCGGTGCCACACCAACCCCAGGTTTCTCCGTGAGCTCTTCTGGCATGCTGGAGTTCAACGGCAGTCCAGACTTCATTGCTTGTGAGACTGGCCAGAACGGAGGCGCGAATATCCACACCACCAACAGCTCCGCTCTCGGCCAGTGTGAGAAGATCATGCTCAACGCCGATTCCTGCTCCGCGCCTCCCGCGCCTCCCGCGCCAACTAGCAATAACTGCCAAACTACCCTGACCTCGGGCAACTTTGAGTTCCCTCACTTGATCGTGCCTATCGACTCCAAGTCTCCCGACACAGCCTTTGGCACCCAGTTCAACGGCACTGTGACCTCGACTATTTCGAGCATCTTTAACTTTGATATCCCGCAGTCTGACTCGGGCAAGTCTTGTAGCCTGGTCTTCTTTTTCCCTGAATTGAAGGACCTGGTGACCTCGTCTTTCAGCTTTAGCGGTGATGGCCAAATTGATTTTGCTGAGCTCTCTAAGCCCGCTGATACCAAGACTACATTCAATAACGCCCCCTCTGTCTCCCAAGATCTCGGCGATATCACTGTCTCACCTGGTCACTCGTTTGTTGTTTCGACTTTCTCGTGTCCCGCTGGCCAGGCTGTTGCCTTCGAGATGAAGAATGCCGGTAGTACTAATCTCAACTTCTTCCAGGACTTTAACCCCTCTCCGTAAGTCTCTCTTTCTGTGGTAGTGTACTATTGAGATGAAGCTCACTAACATGCTTTTAGTATTGGTCTATTCATTACTGTCTGTTAAGGAACCCGCAGATAACTGCCTTTTTGCTTCCAGGGCACGTCATCCACAGGTGATACTCGTGTCTCGAATGCAGTGGTAAGGTTATGTGAATATTGTGTAATATCTCATGTCTTTTAATTATCGTTTATTTTGTTAATGGTTTTTGTTTTTGTTCAATAGGGAAAATAGGCATTATCTGATATAATTGACAGCCTGGCGAACGATTTCTTTGCTGTATTATTGCCATAATCGAAAATAATTCTTACAGTCAACTAAACCACAAGTAATGAGTTTCAAGTAAGAAATAGCGATTCTGAAAGAAATCCGGGTATTGTAATTATAATTTCATACTATGCATGGACAGCAGCAGCCTCTTCACTACCCATGCTCCGCATCTTAAACTGCCTCAATCGTTCCTCGACATGATTGCCAAACGCCACACAGTCTTGATACTGATTCCTTAACTACCGTACAACAAAAAGAAAAAGACCCGCAAACAAAGCAGCCTTCTGATCCTCCTCCTGAATAGACTGCGGCGCACAAGGCATAAAGAAACAAAACTGCGATCTTTCAAAATGGCGATTCAAATAGCACTCAAAACCATACATCATCGCAAGATCAATCAAGCAAATAAATCAAAGCAGACAAGAAAAACGGAACCCCGAATATCGCCAAGGGTACCAATATAGGGACCATGAAACACAGACACATAGCATTTCTTGCAGCGACCGCAATGATCCATGTAATCACCAACGAAAGCAAGACTAGGCAGCCCACCAATGAATTGCACCTGTGCAAGGGTATCTGACGGCGTCCCACGGAAATATGTCGCCGGCATGATGATCGTGTTGGTAGGAGATATAAAACTCGTCAATGTCAAAGCGGGAGATAGTAGAACCATCCCCGTGGAGAGTACCCATAGACGCCATTTCCGAATTGGAAGACCCCTGAAGACAAATATCGTAATGATATATTGCAACTCTGCATGTAAGAATCCCTAGAAAGCAACGTTGAATTCCGCGGTAAGGGAGCTATCTATTTGTTCAAGTCGGCATCATAAGTCGGCGGATCTTGTTTCAGCCTTCCTTCGGATCGGATGTCGTGCAAGAGATCATAGGCTGCCCTGTTGATTCCGAAGAGAAATACTCATGTATTTGGGTGGAATTTCGAAGATTACTCCCCACCATGCTGCAGCTAGTGTGATGTACCACTCTGCCCATGTTCCTGGATCGTAGAAGCCGCTTACATCGGTGATACCGAGTGGATCGAGTTGTTCGCCTGTGATTGGGAGATTGATGTAGGTTGAGGTGGATATGGGTTTGATGTCGCTGATGTGGTTGTAGGGTTAATGGCTGCATTGTGATAGACGGGCATAACTGAGATTGGATATGCAACTGTTTCGTCTTGGACATTCTCTAGTGGAAATGCGGATATGAAGGTGAAAAAAGAGAGGCTGTAGTAAAATGCTGGAAAGCATTGTACTAGGGAAGAGAGAAAATATTCCCGCATTAAGATCTGGGGATGTCTCCGATAAGAGAGCGAATACCAGTGCCTGTGGAAATCTCAGCCCCGTTTCTCGTATAGAAG